GGAGGAATTTGAAAACGGAGGTTTCACTCTGAAAACGCATCAAATGTTTTCTGTCCACACTACGCCGGAGCAATTTAAAAACGCAACAATCACCGGTCATTTTGGATTTGTGCTTGAAAATACTCGGACAGAGAAATCACATGGTTATCGTGAGGTTATCGTTTCCGGAAAGCTTCGTTTTCAAAATGTTTTCCTTCCCACACGAAAACGAAAAGCCGGCATTTTTAAATTCCTCCACTTTGAAGAGCGTTATCGAAAAGCTCCGTTTTCAAAATGTTTTCTGTCCACACGAAAACGAAAAGCCGGCGTTTTTAAATTCCCTCGGTTTGAGGAGCGTTTTCAAAAAGCTCCTTTTTCGTGACAGATTAGCGTGGACGGTTGGCCTAACCGTAGAAATAAAGCTGCGTTTTCAAATTCCTCCGGCTCAGTGTGGACGGACCCTATCTGGAACATTGTTCCTTTCAACTAAAGTTGTTCAAACTCCATTAGACAGCTGCGCCCCTTTAACTCCCCAAGTCCAATTGTAAATTCTCCGTACTACAGGTACTGCTTCTAAAAGTGTTGTCAACCCCCATCTTCAACATCTAACTTCTCCATACTGTACGTTGATACGTTTTCTATAAATTTCCTACGGAGAATCCGGTGTCAAGGGGTAACACTGTTTCTGAAATGATCAGGTTTTTAATACTCACTACACATGCAGCTGAATTTGTGATAAAAATGTAGGCACAAATTAGAGGTTGATAACTGCTGGGAATTAAAGGGTTTAAAAGGAACTGAAACTCCAAACCAATGAAAGTAACAAAATTGACTCCTTTATTTTGCTTTTACTTACAATCTATACTTTAACTTGATGTACCACTAGAGCAGAAATTTTGAATCTTACTCACGGTGGGTGTAATAATTTATCAATGGGCGGCTATTAACGTAATCTGTTAATCCGAAATCTACAAGATATTCCATTTAAACAGACGACAACTCAGTTTCACAAGTGGATAAAATAATAATGATGTGCAACATCAATTCTAATTTCCGAACATTTTATTTTTCATGTGATTAACTGATCGGTTTACCTGGATGAATAAAACAGTAATTATCATTATGAATATGTCTTCCTGTTTGTAATCTGACCAATTATGACTTTTTCATTTTTTTTAGAAAACTCAATACAATGTATTGATACAAAGATATGAAATAAACCTGAAGCAAATCAAATTAAAATTCTACAAAGGAAGATTCAAAATTATAAAGTGCTCTTGGCAGTGCAGTAATAGAAATACAGAGCTTGTTGTCACAACAATAAACAAATAACAAGTGCGATAAAAGAGGAAAAGACCTTATGCATGATTATGTCACATGTTCAAATTCAGCACCAAGTCTTGTTTGTGTGGAATTTTCTCCAAACCTTTAGCACCTTCATGGTGTTTTCACGTGGGTGTTCTTTTCATCTTTGCAGCTTTAGGTATTTGTTGGTGATAAACTTTACAATTTGCATTTTCAAAGCAAGGCTTGGTGGTGAAATTTAATAGTCTGATGTCAACATGCCCAAGGTGGATATTGCACACTTAATAATGTACATTCGTTCAATTTGGAATTTTTGAAAAACTCACTCGTGCAAATTAATTCCAAATTGAACTTGTAACCGTATGATTACCCATCCATTTAAAATCCCCATTAATTAATTAAATTAAAGAAGCTCAGTCACAGTATTTTGGGTTATTTTGGCCATGTACAAAATTACCTTAAAATTGAAGGAAACCTTAAGATAGTAGTTTACTAAGATAGAAAAACACCAAAGAGATAATAATAAACCATAAAGGAACAAGGATGGTTAAGGATGGGGAAGATTAACATGGATCACAAATGACCAACTTGAAAAATTTATGCCAAACTCTAAAGATCCACGAACTGTGACGTAGCCCCTTAAAATAAGCAAAATGAGCTGCACTATTTTGCTTTGGTTAAATAACAACAATTGCAAATGACATGGAGTTATAAAATGAAAAGGCAAATTTACATGACTTTTGTGATATTTGTTACCTAAAAATATTCCTACAAAACATTGGGTAAATGTTTCATAAATAAACATTTAGTCATGATAAGTTAACAGATATTAATCATTATGTACATGAATATAATTTTACTTAATAAAATAGCTGATCAAGTATTGGTGACTAAAAATGATTGATAACTCTTCAGAAAGCAATGGCATTAGTAAGGACTGACCAAAAAGGAAGACTTTAGGAAGATAATGGTAAAAATAATGATCAAACTGAATGATCCAAAATGATTGTTGTTCGGGATATTATTTTCATGTTACTGGTAACACCAGACACCAATAATATAAACCTAAAAGCTCATTCAAGAAAATTCATTAAACAATGAATTTTCATTAATGGCAATATCTTCATCGAGACCACAGTTGGCGATATGAGATTAACAAGAAGATAAAAATCTCATGCCAAGTTGGTATAAGTGGCTATCTATATTCAGAAACATTTCTTGTTCAGGCCTCTTGTTAAGGGAATGATTGGAATATAATGAGAAAACAATTCTAAGCTCCTCACATCTCCCCCGCCCCGATTATAAGCTCTCCAGGTAGTACACTCATCTATGTGACTGTGCCTGCAGCTTGGCCAAATATACAAACAATGTTACAATGAATTTGTTGTTGACAACACTGTTAACAAGAAAAGATAGACAAGGAAAGATAACTCTTTTGTATTCAACTGCAGAATCAACAATTTCTCATAAAGTTACCAGTTTCAAATACACTCTTGTAGATGTCTTTTATTCGTTAGTAAAGACAACTGCAGACTCATAATGCTGTTAATTATGATGGTTAAGTTAAGGGTTCATTTTTCCTAGGGTAGGAAGGTTAGAAACAGCAGAAAACAATGGGGATTTATTCTGTCAATATTGTTTGAGGGAAGAGTCATCTTATTTTAAGAAATAAACGCTTAATTTATTAATTTAATTTCATTATCACATAGAGCGGTTTTCAACTGAGTGTCAAAACTAATCAGGTGATTACTTTGGTTTTGGTTTTGGTTTTACTACTGTTTGAGATTGGCTGAGTGGTCTAATTGGTACTACGTAATTGGTTTGGTTTTGGTTTTACGACGCTCAATTGAAAACTGCTCTGTGAAGGGCATAATTATTCAAAATAAAGGAACTGATAAAATTTCCTAGTTCATGTTCTTCACCTTCCTCACTTGGTCTTGATATTTAAAGGCTTCTGGCTTTGCTGAAGAAATATTTTATCCGTTCCGCCACAAAGTGACAACAAAGTAAACACAGCTCCAAACAGGAGGACATACCACCTTACCAGTGCCGAGATGTACATCAGAAATGAGACACTGATGCTAAACACCAGCCAGAATATGAGGCCTTTTAGAAACAGAAACCTGACTGCTGTTTCAACTTCATCCTGTTTTCCCTGAGCCAACTCAGAAGGGGCACCAAACTGCTTGCCCTCAGTATAAAATCTTTTCAATCTGTCCTCTTTGTCTTTCCACTGATTACAACACCATTCCTCAAGACCTTGCGAGTCTTGCGGAAGCTCCTCATCAGAGAAACGCTGAATATGAAAGTGGATTTCACTTGGTACATTTCCTCGAAGAAGATCGAGTTCTTCAAAGCAATAATTTTCAGAATAGCCTACAGTAACATCATGGATAGCATCAAGTTTCCCTTGACGCAGTTTCTCTACACAGTAGGTAAAGCCACGAACACGAGGATGTAGCACATAGTCATAGAAGGGAAGATTGTTTTTCTTTGCAAAAGAATCACTCTTTTGTTTACTTACATCTTCAAAATTAGTACCCTCAGGAAACAAAAGCAGTTGTAAACAGTCTGAATAATTCACAAAATAACTAAGAACTGAATTAAGATAGCTCTCGTCTTGTTCCCAGCGACGTTTCAAGAAAATATACAAGGCATTCTGCATGGCCCAACCTGAAAATGAGCGCACAAATGAATTATTTCAATTATATAGCTCACCACTAAATTTTCTCCCATCCTTATTGGTTTAAATTTATGAAGTGATGCAATGGTGTTCATCGGTGGTGGTAGCTAACATCTGATACACGTCTCATGGATGATATTTATATTCTTATCAAATACATCAATAAAGATAGAGTACAAGTAAACAAAAATTTGTTACACTATCTATTTCTTCATTTATTTAATCATTGTGCATTTTACTCACCAAAAGCATTTCAGGGAACTTGTCAAAAGCAAAAGGTTTTCAGTCCTTCACAACTTGTTTCACACATGCATTGTGCACTTCAGCAGTTCACAAATCAATGCTTTACAAAGGTTGTATGCAACTCTTGTCATATAAAATTTATTTCATCCCTATGAGGCTTAATTAATTTTCCTTCTGAAACATTAAGGTTACCAGGAGACCCCTAACATGGCCACTTTAGATTTTTCACACTTGGCATCACATAACCATGAATGGACCACTTTAACGATGTTGTGCTTTTCTGATTTTTTTCATTCAAATAAAAAATAAGCCTTGCTGCTCAATATATTGATCACACTGAAATTAGTAGATATGCAAACTTACATAAAGAATCAGGCACAAACTGATCCTAAACTTGCCAGGAGGCAAACACATGTCCCCTGGCAGAATTTTTCTTTAAAAAACTGGCAAGTTTGGGTCCCAAATTTCCATGAGTTTCTAATGGAAACTCATGGAACTTATGGAGGTGGTTTTTTTGTTTGTATGAAATATAGGAAAACTTGTTGATGTCAAGTAACGTGATCAAAGTAGCCTATTTTAAAAATGTATGACAATTACGCACGTCATGTTTATAGGGGAGCCACATTCCCACCCCCTTAGGTGCATAAACATGGCTGTTTCAAGAACAAGACTGTTGTATTGGGGTGGTCAAAGGGTTCTGCAGTGAAAAGAAAATTCAATTTTCTATGCTTATAGTGCATTGCAATTACTTTTACTTGTTCATGTAGCTAATTGCTAGATAAGAAGCACCAAGCTTTACCAGGTAGAAAGTGTAGTCCAAATAATATAGTCACATAATAAAAAAACAGGATCCTGAAGCAGAGTCAATGTTTTAGTGATCACAAGCTTTTGACACTGTCACAGCATCTTTCTCAAGTGAATATGGCAGGAATCTATAAATCACGTGAGTTTGGGTGAACCATGTCATGTACAAAAACATCCCTGTCGAGACAGTGGATTTGAACTTCCAGTCCTATACGGGGATGTTTTACACGACTTGGTTCAACCAGGCTCATGTGACAAATAGATTCCCACCATATTCACTTGAGAAAGTCGCTCAGTGTCAAAAGCTTGTGATCGCTAAAGCATTGACTCTGCTTCAGTATCTTGTTTCTTGTTATGTCTACTACAGAGACAGGAAACAGTTATATCTTTTCTCAGTCATAATCATATTTGTCACATCACTCACCTGGACCAGGAATATGTTTCAGTTCATGTTTCATTATAATCTTCTCGTGTTTTAGCTCGCCGTATCGAGCCACAACACTCCAAAAGAACAACCAGTCCAGGCGACATCTGTGGTTCATGATGATGACAGCATTCTCACCCTTGGGTGCTTTGTCGCCAGTCACAACAATCTTCACTCCAAACATCAGCTCTGTGTCAAGAAATGTAAAAGGTTAAGTGTGCATACAAGCCAAGTGGCCCATCAGGCCGGAGCTTATCCCGGTTTCTGTAGCATGAAGCGACTAGGAGTATTTCTACTCCTGTTAGTCCATCACAGGGATGCCCCCAGAATTAAATTTGCTGGTACCCAATTGTACACCTGAGTGCCAGGAGAGAGGCACTGTGAGAGTAGAGTGTCTTGCCCAAGAATACAACACAATGTCCCCAATAAGGGCTTGAACCTGGACTGCTCAATCCTGAGGCAAAAGCACTTTATTTTGGATGTTTAATTTTGGAACACTTTGTATCTTATTTCGAACAAATTTCAGATGAAATATTTTGGGCCCTTGATGAAACAGCCAATGTGAATTTACGCCTACAAAACACAAATTAGACTGAAACAACATTCTGTGATTGTGTTACTGTACCCTAAAGGTTTTACAGATACAACAATGGGAAAACAACACAAAGTCTATCAAGCCTTTACGTATCTCATTCTGTGTCTCAACTAGAGTCTGCCCCATAAAGGAAACTAACAGCTTTGCAGCTATTTAAAGGTTTTATACTGAACTGTAAATATTTCGGATGCTTCAAATTTCAGACATTAAAAAATTTCCTGGACAGTGTTATTTTCGAACACTTTTTTGGTCCAAAATTATATTCATCTGAAAGTTTTTGCAAATTTTTGCAGTTGTCATGTATTAACCAACTTTACCACTGTTTTTAGCTTACATTTGTACCTATATAGCAATATTTAATAACACTAGACCATTATATTCAGGTTTCCATCACTGAAAATATGTTATTTAGGTGTTGCCTTCTTGAAGTCATTCTTAAAAAATCCATATGATCAACACAACCTCGTTTGATTTCAGCTGCATGGAACAAACAATAGGACACAGTTCTATAATTTTGCAACAATTTTTCCAGTTGAATGATTTTGTGCAAAAAGGGCATACATCTCTTTTTGGGCCAATTTTCATTTTTTGTAGGATTGAGCTAATTTTTGGCAGACTGCCAAAGTCAGTTTTCCAAGGGCATCTTTTAATTACGGAATGATGCTTTTCATGTCAAAACAAGTCAGTCTGCAAAAAATTAGCTCAATCCTGCTAAACATGAAAATCAGCCCAAAAAGTGATATGTGCCCTTTTTGTACGAAATTTTTCTGTAGTTGATTGCAACGATTCATAATGACCAAAAGTTGGACTGTAAGCAATGACAGCTGCATGCATCAGTGATCATAGAATTCTTGACCTTATTCTGTTATATTTGCTTGTTTAGATGCTCTCAACGGGGTTAACATATATCATAAAAAAATGGAAAATTTAACCACTAGCCATAAAAAATGTAAATCATAAAAAAAATTCTAGCTATGAAAGCGACAGTCTGGAGAACTCTTGCCAAGACTTTTTTGTGTCTTGTTTTGTAATAATAATACTTTTTTCCATCATTCTAAGACCTTAAATATATTTCACAGTAACCCACATAGATTCTTAACTTTATTAAACAAGGAAAATTTATTTTTGACTTCTTAAAACAAATTTTAAGATTTCTGTTCACCATTATGAAAACAAATTAGCTGTTAACTGTTCACTATAAAGGCCACCTCCCAATTGAGAACCTCTGTTTTAAAATATCCATCGCAATCATAAGGTGACCAGACTGTGGTCAGTAGTAAGTATTTTTGACACTGGAAAGTATACGTTGAAATGCAACCATAACAGTTATTCAAATAAATCAAATAAGTAATTAGTCATCAGCGTAAACATAAGAAAAATGTTATATGACTAATATTGTCCAACTAGTAGCTGGAGGTTTCGCACCCAAGAGAGTTTACACCCACCGAATTCACACCTACATTGACTCAACTGGCGATCAAGAACTTAAAATTTATCTTTCTCTTACCGACAACATTGTAGGCATAATGAAACAAAAAGACACAAAACATGTTTATTTATCTTTCTTTAATCCATTGAAGGTGAAGGCAAACTCAAAATAGAAAGTTTATAATGAGTTCAGGGGTGCGCACTTGGTGGGTGTGCACTTGATGGATGCGAACTTGATTGGGTGCAACACAGGTAGCACTCGTCCAACCAAATTACACCAATGTCCAACTATGAAATTCAAAATATGCTTGGATATGAAATGTACGTNCTTGTTTGTGTGGAATTTTCTCCAAACCTTTAGCACCTTCATGGTGTTTTCACGTGGGTGTTCTTTTCATCTTTGCAGCTTTAGGTATTTGTTGGTGATAAACTTTACAATTTGCATTTTCAAAGCAAGGCTTGGTGGTGAAATTTAATAGTCTGATGTCAACATGCCCAAGGTGGATATTGCACACTTAATAATGTACATTCGTTCAATTTGGAATTTTTGAAAAACTCACTCGTGCAAATTAATTCCAAATTGAACTTGTAACCGTATGATTACCCATCCATTTAAAATCCCCATTAATTAATTAAATTAAAGAAGCTCAGTCACAGTATTTTGGGTTATTTTGGCCATGTACAAAATTACCTTAAAATTGAAGGAAACCTTAAGATAGTAGTTTACTAAGATAGAAAAACACCAAAGAGATAATAATAAACCATAAAGGAACAAGGATGGTTAAGGATGGGGAAGATTAACATGGATCACAAATGACCAACTTGAAAAATTTATGCCAAACTCTAAAGATCCACGAACTGTGACGTAGCCCCTTAAAATAAGCAAAATGAACTGCACTATTTTGCTTTGGTTAAATAACAACAATAGCAAATGACATGGAGTTATAAAATGAAAAGGCAAATTTACATGACTTTTGTGATATTTGTTACCTAAAAATATTCCTACAAAACATTGGGTAAATGTTTCATAAATAAACATTTAGTCATGATAAGTTAACAGATATTAATCATTATGTACATGAATATAATTTTACTTAATAAAATAGCTGATCAAGTATTGGTGACTAAAAATGATTGATAACTCTTCAGAAAGCAATGGCATTAGTAAGGACTGACCAAAAAGGAAGACTTTAGGAAGATAATGGTAAAAATAATGATCAAACTGAATGATCCAAAATGATTGTTGTTCGGGATATTATTTTCATGTTACTGGTAACACCAGACACCAATAATATAAACCTAAAAGCTCATTCAAGAAAATTCATTAAACAATGAATTTTCATTAATGGCAATATCTTCATCGAGACCACAGTTGGCGATATGAGATTAACAAGAAGATAAAAATCTCATGCCAAGTTGGTATAAGTGGCTATCTATATTCAGAAACATTTCTTGTTCAGGCCTCTTGTTAAGGGAATGATTGGAATATAATGAGAAAACAATTCTAAGCTCCTCACATCTCCCCCGCCCCGATTATAAGCTCTCCAGGTAGTACACTCATCTATGTGACTGTGCCTGCAGCTTGGCCAAATATACAAACAATGTTACAATGAATTTGTTGTTGACAACACTGTTAACAAGAAAAGATAGACAAGGAAAGATAACTCTTTTGTATTCAACTGCAGAATCAACAATTTCTCATAAAGTTACCAGTTTCAAATACACTCTTGTAGATGTCTTTTATTCGTTAGTAAAGACAACTGCAGACTCATAATGCTGTTAATTATGATGGTTAAGTTAAGGGTTCATTTTTCCTAGGGTAGGAAGGTTAGAAACAGCAGAAAACAATGGGGATTTATTCTGTCAATATTGTTTGAGGGAAGAGTCATCTTATTTTAAGAAATAAACGCTTAATTTATTAATTTAATTTCATTATCACATAGAGCGGTTTTCAACTGAGTGTCAAAACTAATCAGGTGATTACTTTGGTTTTGGTTTTGGTTTTACTACTGTTTGAGATTGGCTGAGTGGTCTAATTGGTACTACGTAATTGGTTTGGTTTTGGTTTTACGACGCTCAATTGAAAACTGCTCTGTGAAGGGCATAATTATTCAAAATAAAGGAACTGATAAAATTTCCTAGTTCATGTTCTTCACCTTCCTCACTTGGTCTTGATATTTAAAGGCTTCTGGCTTTGCTGAAGAAATATTTTATCCGTTCCGCCACAAAGTGACAACAAAGTAAACACAGCTCCAAACAGGAGGACATACCACCTTACCAGTGCCGAGATGTACATCAGAAATGAGACACTGATGCTAAACACCAGCCAGAATATGAGGCCTTTTAGAAACAGAAACCTGACTGCTGTTTCAACTTCATCCTGTTTTCCCTGAGCCAACTCAGAAGGGGCACCAAACTGCTTGCCCTCAGTATAAAATCTTTTCAATCTGTCCTCTTTGTCTTTCCACTGATTACAACACCATTCCTCAAGACCTTGCGAGTCTTGCGGAAGCTCCTCATCAGAGAAACGCTGAATATGAAAGTGGATTTCACTTGGTACATTTCCTCGAAGAAGATCGAGTTCTTCAAAGCAATAATTTTCAGAATAGCCTACAGTAACATCATGGATAGCATCAAGTTTCCCTTGACGCAGTTTCTCTACACAGTAGGTAAAGCCACGAACACGAGGATGTAGCACATAGTCATAGAAGGGAAGATTGTTTTTCTTTGCAAAAGAATCACTCTTTTGTTTACTTACATCTTCAAAATTAGTACCCTCAGGAAACAAAAGCAGTTGTAAACAGTCTGAATAATTCACAAAATAACTAAGAACTGAATTAAGATAGCTCTCGTCTTGTTCCCAGCGACGTTTCAAGAAAATATACAAGGCATTCTGCATGGCCCAACCTGAAAATGAGCGCACAAATGAATTATTTCAATTATATAGCTCACCACTAAATTTTCTCCCATCCTTATTGGTTTAAATTTATGAAGTGATGCAATGGTGTTCATCGGTGGTGGTAGCTAACATCTGATACACGTCTCATGGATGATATTTATATTCTTATCAAATACATCAATAAAGATAGAGTACAAGTAAACAAAAATTTGTTACACTATCTATTTCTTCATTTATTTAATCATTGTGCATTTTACTCACCAAAAGCATTTCAGGGAACTTGTCAAAAGCAAAAGGTTTTCAGTCCTTCACAACTTGTTTCACACATGCATTGTGCACTTCAGCAGTTCACAAATCAATGCTTTACAAAGGTTGTATGCAACTCTTGTCATATAAAATTTATTTCATCCCTATGAGGCTTAATTAATTTTCCTTCTGAAACATTAAGGTTACCAGGAGACCCCTAACATGGCCACTTTAGATTTTTCACACTTGGCATCACATAACCATGAATGGACCACTTTAACGATGTTGTGCTTTTCTGATTTTTTTCATTCAAATAAAAAATAAGCCTTGCTGCTCAATATATTGATCACACTGAAATTAGTAGATATGCAAACTTACATAAAGAATCAGGCACAAACTGATCCTAAACTTGCCAGGAGGCAAACACATGTCCCCTGGCAGAATTTTTCTTTAAAAAACTGGCAAGTTTGGGTCCCAAATTTCCATGAGTTTCTAATGGAAACTCATGGAACTTATGGAGGTGGTTTTTTTGTTTGTATGAAATATAGGAAAACTTGTTGATGTCAAGTAACGTGATCAAAGTAGCCTATTTTAAAAATGTATGACAATTACGCACGTCATGTTTATAGGGGAGCCACATTCCCACCCCCTTAGGTGCATAAACATGGCTGTTTCAAGAACAAGACTGTTGTATTGGGGTGGTCAAAGGGTTCTGCAGTGAAAAGAAAATTCAATTTTCTATGCTTATAGTGCATTGCAATTACTTTTACTTGTTCATGTAGCTAATTGCTAGATAAGAAGCACCAAGCTTTACCAGGTAGAAAGTGTAGTCCAAATAATATAGTCACATAATAAAAAAACAGGATCCTGAAGCAGAGTCAATGTTTTAGTGATCACAAGCTTTTGACACTGTCACAGCATCTTTCTCAAGTGAATATGGCAGGAATCTATAAATCACGTGAGTTTGGGTGAACCATGTCATGTACAAAAACATCCCTGTCGAGACAGTGGATTTGAACTTCCAGTCCTATACGGGGATGTTTTACACGACTTGGTTCAACCAGGCTCATGTGACAAATAGATTCCCACCATATTCACTTGAGAAAGTCGCTCAGTGTCAAAAGCTTGTGATCGCTAAAGCATTGACTCTGCTTCAGTATCTTGTTTCTTGTTATGTCTACTACAGAGACAGGAAACAGTTATATCTTTTCTCAGTCATAATCATATTTGTCACATCACTCACCTGGACCAGGAATATGTTTCAGTTCATGTTTCATTATAATCTTCTCGTGTTTTAGCTCGCCGTATCGAGCCACAACACTCCAAAAGAACAACCAGTCCAGGCGACATCTGTGGTTCATGATGATGACAGCATTCTCACCCTTGGGTGCTTTGTCGCCAGTCACAACAATCTTCACTCCAAACATCAGCTCTGTGTCAAGAAATGTAAAAGGTTAAGTGTGCATACAAGCCAAGTGGCCCATCAGGCCGGAGCTTATCCCGGTTTCTGTAGCATGAAGCGACTAGGAGTATTTCTACTCCTGTTAGTCCATCACAGGGATGCCCCCAGAATTAAATTTGCTGGTACCCAATTGTACACCTGAGTGCCAGGAGAGAGGCACTGTGAGAGTAGAGTGTCTTGCCCAAGAATACAACACAATGTCCCCAATAAGGGCTTGAACCTGGACTGCTCAATCCTGAGGCAAAAGCACTTTATTTTGGATGTTTAATTTTGGAACACTTTGTATCTTATTTCGAACAAATTTCAGATGAAATATTTTGGGCCCTTGATGAAACAGCCAATGTGAATTTACGCCTACAAAACACAAATTAGACTGAAACAACATTCTGTGATTGTGTTACTGTACCCTAAAGGTTTTACAGATACAACAATGGGAAAACAACACAAAGTCTATCAAGCCTTTACGTATCTCATTCTGTGTCTCAACTAGAGTCTGCCCCATAAAGGAAACTAACAGCTTTGCAGCTATTTAAAGGTTTTATACTGAACTGTAAATATTTCGGATGCTTCAAATTTCAGACATTAAAAAATTTCCTGGACAGTGTTATTTTCGAACACTTTTTTGGTCCAAAATTATATTCATCTGAAAGTTTTTGCAAATTTTTGCAGTTGTCATGTATTAACCAACTTTACCACTGTTTTTAGCTTACATTTGTACCTATATAGCAATATTTAATAACACTAGACCATTATATTCAGGTTTCCATCACTGAAAATATGTTATTTAGGTGTTGCCTTCTTGAAGTCATTCTTAAAAAATCCATATGATCAACACAACCTCGTTTGATTTCAGCTGCATGGAACAAACAATAGGACACAGTTCTATAATTTTGCAACAATTTTTCCAGTTGAATGATTTTGTGCAAAAAGGGCATACATCTCTTTTTGGGCCAATTTTCATTTTTTGTAGGATTGAGCTAATTTTTGGCAGACTGCCAAAGTCAGTTTTCCAAGGGCATCTTTTAATTACGGAATGATGCTTTTCATGTCAAAACAAGTCAGTCTGCAAAAAATTAGCTCAATCCTGCTAAACATGAAAATCAGCCCAAAAAGTGATATGTGCCCTTTTTGTACGAAATTTTTCTGTAGTTGATTGCAACGATTCATAATGACCAAAAGTTGGACTGTAAGCAATGACAGCTGCATGCATCAGTGATCATAGAATTCTTGACCTTATTCTGTTATATTTGCTTGTTTAGATGCTCTCAACGGGGTTAACATATATCATAAAAAAATGGAAAATTTAACCACTAGCCATAAAAAATGTAAATCATAAAAAAAATTCTAGCTATGAAAGCGACAGTCTGGAGAACTCTTGCCAAGACTTTTTTGTGTCTTGTTTTGTAATAATAATACTTTTTTCCATCATTCTAAGACCTTAAATATATTTCACAGTAACCCACATAGATTCTTAACTTTATTAAACAAGGAAAATTTATTTTTGACTTCTTAAAACAAATTTTAAGATTTCTGTTCACCATTATGAAAACAAATTAGCTGTTAACTGTTCACTATAAAGGCCACCTCCCAATTGAGAACCTCTGTTTTAAAATATCCATCGCAATCATAAGGTGACCAGACTGTGGTCAGTAGTAAGTATTTTTGACACTGGAAAGTATACGTTGAAATGCAACCATAACAGTTATTCAAATAAATCAAATAAGTAATTAGTCATCAGCGTAAACATAAGAAAAATGTTATATGACTAATATTGTCCAACTAGTAGCTGGAGGTTTCGCACCCAAGAGAGTTTACACCCACCGAATTCACACCTACATTGACTCAACTGGCGATCAAGAACTTAAAATTTATCTTTCTCTTACCGACAACATTGTAGGCATAATGAAACAAAAAGACACAAAACATGTTTATTTATCTTTCTTTAATCCATTGAAGGTGAAGGCAAACTCAAAATAGAAAGTTTATAATGAGTTCAGGGGTGCGCACTTGGTGGGTGTGCACTTGATGGATGCGAACTTGATTGGGTGCAACACAGGTAGCACTCGTCCAACCAAATTACACCAATGTCCAACTATGAAATTCAAAATATGCTTGGATATGAAATGTACGTGTTGTGGTTCAATATTAACCTTATCAAATTTTGGTACTTTCCTTTATTTCACAGACATTATAATATAATTAACTAGAACAAAGGAAAAGTACCAAATTGTACCAAGGGTAAATCTGATCCACAACATCACTGACAAATTAAACTCACGAGCTGTCTAAGGCAAATCACATTACATAAAATCATGGCCACTATTGAATGTTTTTATCACATAGTATTATCTGCTGATAGTGTCCGGCAGATTTCAACACCTTTCCCTTACTCTCGCGATGAAAACAATAGGTTATGTAAAGCTTAAAATCAGTTTCTATCCGCCCACAAATATAGCACGTAGACAACTTTGTGCGTTTAATTACTGGATAGACTACCACGAACAAACAATATAATAATACTTAAAGCAATATCGATACAGGACATCTATCCTGAACTATTTTAAGTTTCCCAAAGACGGGTTATTTGGGCACAATTAGGTACTTCACTTACCCAGAAGGGCCTTTGTATGTAAACAACGTAAGTTTGTCATCAGATGTGGCGAAATTGATGATCGGAGGAAAAAAAATAAACAGTGACTTGTTATTTAGCGAAAATACACAATACGAATCAGATGCCGCGAAGAACAATCACTTCAACGATAGTTTGGAGAAGAAAATCACCATGAGAAGTGTTTTAAAAATGCTTTTCTCACCGGGGGCAACAAGAGCCACGATGAAATCAATCGATCGTTNGCAAATGACATGGAGTTATAAAATGAAAAGGCAAATTTACATGACTTTTGTGATATTTGTTACCTAAAAATATTCCTACAAAACATTGGGTAAATGTTTCATAAATAAACATTTAGTCATGATAAGTTAACAGATATTAATCATTATGTACATGAATATAATTTTACTTAATAAAATAGCTGATCAAGTATTGGTGACTAAAAATGATTGATAACTCTTCAGAAAGCAATGGCATTAGTAAGGACTGACCAAAAAGGAAGACTTTAGGAAGATAATGGTAAAAATAATGATCAAACTGAATGATCCAAAATGATTGTTGTTCGGGATATTATTTTCATGTTACTGGTAACACCAGACACCAATAATATAAACCTAAAAGCTCATTCAAGAAAATTCATTAAACAATGAATTTTCATTAATGGCAATATCTTCATCGAGACCACAGTTGGCGATATGAGATTAACAAGAAGATAAAAATCTCATGCCAAGTTGGTATAAGTGGCTATCTATATTCAGAAACATTTCTTGTTCAGGCCTCTTGTTAAGGGAATGATTGGAATATAATGAGAAAACAATTCTAAGCTCCTCACATCTCCCCCGCCCCGATTATAAGCTCTCCAGGTAGTACACTCATCTATGTGACTGTGCCTGCAGCTTGGCCAAATATACAAACAATGTTACAATGAATTTGTTGTTGACAACACTGTTAACAAGAAAAGATAGACAAGGAAAGATAACTCTTTTGTATTCAACTGCAGAATCAACAATTTCTCATAAAGTTACCAGTTTCAAATACACTCTTGTAGATGTCTTTTATTCGTTAGTAAAGACAACTGCAGACTCATAATGCTGTTAATTATGATGGTTAAGTTAAGGGTTCATTTTTCCTAGGGTAGGAAGGTTAGAAACAGCAGAAAACAATGGGGATTTATTCTGTCAATATTGTTTGAGGGAAGAGTCATCTTATTTTAAGAAATAAACGCTTAATTTATTAATTTAATTTCATTATCACATAGAGCGGTTTTCAACTGAGTGTCAAAACTAATCAGGTGATTACTTTGGTTTTGGTTTTGGTTTTACTACTGTTTGAGATTGGCTGAGTGGTCTAATTGGTACTACGTAATTGGTTTGGTTTTGGTTTTACGACGCTCAATTGAAAACTGCTCTGTGAAGGGCATAATTATTCAAAATAAAGGAACTGATAAAATTTCCTAGTTCATGTTCTTCACCTTCCTCACTTGGTCTTGATATTTAAAGGCTTCTGGCTTTGCTGAAGAAATATTTTATCCGTTCCGCCACAAAGTGACAACAAAGTAAACACAGCTCCAAACAGGAGGACATACCACCTTACCAGTGCCGAGATGTACATCAGAAATGAGACACTGATGCTAAACACCAGCCAGAATATGAGGCCTTTTAGAAACAGAAACCTGACTGCTGTTTCAACTTCATCCTGTTTTCCCTGAGCCAACTCAGAAGGGGCACCAAACTGCTTGCCCTCAGTATAAAATCTTTTCAATCTGTCCTCTTTGTCTTTCCACTGATTACAACACCATTCCTCAAGACCTTGCGAGTCTTGCGGAAGCTCCTCATCAGAGAAACGCTGAATATGAAAGTGGATTTCACTTGGTACATTTCCTCGAAGAAGATCGAGTTCTTCAAAGCAATAATTTTCAGAATAGCCTACAGTAACATCATGGATAGCATCAAGTTTCCCTTGACGCAGTTTCTCTACACAGTAGGTAAAGCCACGAACACGAGGATGTAGCACATAGTCATAGAAGGGAAGATTGTTTTTCTTTGCAAAAGAATCACTCTTTTGTTTACTTACATCTTCAAAATTAGTACCCTCAGGAAACAAAAGCAGTTGTAAACAGTCTGAATAATTCACAAAATAACTAAGAACTGAATTAAGATAGCTCTCGTCTTGTTCCCAGCGACGTTTCAAGAAAATATACAAGGCATTCTGCATGGCCCAACCTGAAAATGAGCGCACAAATGAATTATTTCAATTATATAGCTCACCACTAAATTTTCTCCCATCCTTATTGGTTTAAATTTATGAAGTGATGCAATGGTGTTCATCGGTGGTGGTAGCTAACATCTGATACACGTCTCATGGATGATATTTATATTCTTATCAAATACATCAATAAAGATAGAGTACAAGTAAACAAAAATTTGTTACACTATCTATTTCTTCATTTATTTAATCATTGTGCATTTTACTCACCAAAAGCATTTCAGGGAACTTGTCAAAAGCAAAAGGTTTTCAGTCCTTCACAACTTGTTTCACACATGCATTGTGCACTTCAGCAGTTCACAAATCAATGCTTTACAAAGGTTGTATGCAACTCTTGTCATATAAAATTTATTTCATCCCTATGAGGCTTAATTAATTTTCCTTCTGAAACATTAAGGTTACCAGGAGACCCCTAACATGGCCACTTTAGATTTTTCACACTTGGCATCACATAACCATGAATGGACCACTTTAACGATGTTGTGCTTTTCTGATTTTTTTCATTCAAATAAAAAATAAGCCTTGCTGCTCAATATATTGATCACACTGAAATTAGTAGATATGCAAACTTACATAAAGAATCAGGCACAAACTGATCCTAAACTTGCCAGGAGGCAAACACATGTCCCCTGGCAGAATTTTTCTTTAAAAAACTGGCAAGTTTGGGTCCCAAATTTCCATGAGTTTCTAATGGAAACTCATGGAACTTATGGAGGTGGTTTTTTTGTTTGTATGAAATATAGGAAAACTTGTTGATGTCAAGTAACGTGATCAAAGTAGCCTATTTTAAAAATGTATGACAATTACGCACGTCATGTTTATAGGGGAGCCACATTCCCACCCCCTTAGGTGCATAAACATGGCTGTTTCAAGAACAAGACTGTTGTATTGGGGTGGTCAAAGGGTTCTGCAGTGAAAAGAAAATTCAATTTTCTATGCTTATAGTGCATTGCAATTACTTTTACTTGTTCATGTAGCTAATTGCTAGATAAGAAGCACCAAGCTTTACCAGGTAGAAAGTGTAGTCCAAATAATATAGTCACATAATAAAAAAACAGGATCCTGAAGCAGAGTCAATGTTTTAGTGATCACAAGCTTTTGACACTGTCACAGCATCTTTCTCAAGTGAATATGGCAGGAATCTATAAATCACGTGAGTTTGGGTGAACCATGTCATGTACAAAAACATCCCTGTCGAGACAGTGGATTTGAACTTCCAGTCCTATACGGGGATGTTTTACACGACTTGGTTCAACCAGGCTCATGTGACAAATAGATTCCCACCATATTCACTTGAGAAAGTCGCTCAGTGTCAAAAGCTTGTGATCGCTAAAGCATTGACTCTGCTTCAGTATCTTGTTTCTTGTTATGTCTACTACAGAGACAGGAAACAGTTATATCTTTTCTCAGTCATAATCATATTTGTCACATCACTCACCTGGACCAGGAATATGTTTCAGTTCATGTTTCATTATAATCTTCTCGTGTTTTAGCTCGCCGTATCGAGCCACAACACTCCAAAAGAACAACCAGTCCAGGCGACATCTGTGGTTCATGATGATGACAGCATTCTCACCCTTGGGTGCTTTGTCGCCAGTCACAACAATCTTCACTCCAAACATCAGCTCTGTGTCAAGAAATGTAAAAGGTTAAGTGTGCATACAAGCCAAGTGGCCCATCAGGCCGGAGCTTATCCCGGTTTCTGTAGCATGAAGCGACTAGGAGTATTTCTACTCCTGTTAGTCCATCACAGGGATGCCCCCAGAATTAAATTTGCTGGTACCCAATTGTACACCTGAGTGCCAGGAGAGAGGCACTGTGAGAGTAGAGTGTCTTGCCCAAGAATACAACACAATGTCCCCAATAAGGGCTTGAACCTGGACTGCTCAATCCTGAGGCAAAAGCACTTTATTTTGGATGTTTAATTTTGGAACACTTTGTATCTTATTTCGAACAAATTTCAGATGAAATATTTTGGGCCCTTGATGAAACAGCCAATGTGAATTTACGCCTACAAAACACAAATTAGACTGAAACAACATTCTGTGATTGTGTTACTGTACCCTAAAGGTTTTACAGATACAACAATGGGAAAACAACACAAAGTCTATCAAGCCTTTACGTATCTCATTCTGTGTCTCAACTAGAGTCTGCCCCATAAAGGAAACTAACAGCTTTGCAGCTATTTAAAGGTTTTATACTGAACTGTAAATATTTCGGATGCTTCAAATTTCAGACATTAAAAAATTTCCTGGACAGTGTTATTTTCGAACACTTTTTTGGTCCAAAATTATATTCATCTGAAAGTTTTTGCAAATTTTTGCAGTTGTCATGTATTAACCAACTTTACCACTGTTTTTAGCTTACATTTGTACCTATATAGCAATATTTAATAACACTAGACCATTATATTCAGGTTTCCATCACTGAAAATATGTTATTTAGGTGTTGCCTTCTTGAAGTCATTCTTAAAAAATCCATATGATCAACACAACCTCGTTTGATTTCAGCTGCATGGAACAAACAATAGGACACAGTTCTATAATTTTGCAACAATTTTTCCAGTTGAATGATTTTGTGCAAAAAGGGCATACATCTCTTTTTGGGCCAATTTTCATTTTTTGTAGGATTGAGCTAATTTTTGGCAGACTGCCAAAGTCAGTTTTCCAAGGGCATCTTTTAATTACGGAATGATGCTTTTCATGTCAAAACAAGTCAGTCTGCAAAAAATTAGCTCAATCCTGCTAAACATGAAAATCAGCCCAAAAAGTGATATGTGCCCTTTTTGTACGAAATTTTTCTGTAGTTGATTGCAACGATTCATAATGACCAAAAGTTGGACTGTAAGCAATGACAGCTGCATGCATCAGTGATCATAGAATTCTTGACCTTATTCTGTTATATTTGCTTGTTTAGATGCTCTCAACGGGGTTAACATATATCATAAAAAAATGGAAAATTTAACCACTAGCCATAAAAAATGTAAATCATAAAAAAAATTCTAGCTATGAAAGCGACAGTCTGGAGAACTCTTGCCAAGACTTTTTTGTGTCTTGTTTTGTAATAATAATACTTTTTTCCATCATTCTAAGACCTTAAATATATTTCACAGTAACCCACATAGATTCTTAACTTTATTAAACAAGGAAAATTTATTTTTGACTTCTTAAAACAAATTTTAAGATTTCTGTTCACCATTATGAAAACAAATTAGCTGTTAACTGTTCACTATAAAGGCCACCTCCCAATTGAGAACCTCTGTTTTAAAATATCCATCGCAATCATAAGGTGACCAGACTGTGGTCAGTAGTAAGTATTTTTGACACTGGAAAGTATACGTTGAAATGCAACCATAACAGTTATTCAAATAAATCAAATAAGTAATTAGTCATCAGCGTAAACATAAGAAAAATGTTATATGACTAATATTGTCCAACTAGTAGCTGGAGGTTTCGCACCCAAGAGAGTTTACACCCACCGAATTCACACCTACATTGACTCAACTGGCGATCAAGAACTTAAAATTTATCTTTCTCTTACCGACAACATTGTAGGCATAATGAAACAAAAAGACACAAAACATGTTTATTTATCTTTCTTTAATCCATTGAAGGTGAAGGCAAACTCAAAATAGAAAGTTTATAATGAGTTCAGGGGTGCGCACTTGGTGGGTGTGCACTTGATGGATGCGAACTTGATTGGGTGCAACACAGGTAGCACTCGTCCAACCAAATTACACCAATGTCCAACTATGAAATTCAAAATATGCTTGGATATGAAATGTACGTGTTGTGGTTCAATATTAACCTTATCAAATTTTGGTACTTTCCTTTATTTCACAGACATTATAATATAATTAACTAGAACAAAGGAAAAGTACCAAATTGTACCAAGGGTAAATCTGATCCACAACATCACTGACAAATTAAACTCACGAGCTGTCTAAGGCAAATCACATTACATAAAATCATGGCCACTATTGAATGTTTTTATCACATAGTATTATCTGCTGATAGTGTCCGGCAGATTTCAACACCTTTCCCTTACTCTCGCGATGAAAACAATAGGTTATGTAAAGCTTAAAATCAGTTTCTATCCGCCCACAAATATAGCACGTAGACAACTTTGTGCGTTTAATTACTGGATAGACTACCACGAACAAACAATATAATAATACTTAAAGCAATATCGATACAGGACATCTATCCTGAACTATTTTAAGTTTCCCAAAGACGGGTTATTTGGGCACAATTAGGTACTCCACTTACCCAGAAGGGCCTTTGTATGTAAACAACGTAAGTTTGTCATCAGATGTGGCGAAATTGATGATCGGAGGAAAAAAAATAAACAGTGACTTGTTATTTAGCGAAAATACACAATACGAATCAGATGCCGCGAAGAACAATCACTTCAACGATAGTTTGGAGAAGAAAATCACCATGAGAAGTGTTTTAAAAATGCTTTTCTCACCGGGGGCAACAAGAGCCACGATGAAATCAATCGATCGTTCAGCCACCGAAACCACTGCGGTCGCAGCCATAACAGAGGCATTGTGGGACCCATGAGGAATATACAGCCAAAGAATGCACAAAAATAAAGAGCCAGACAGTAAAATAGCCCTCCGGCATAGCTTCTGAGCATTTTGAAGATCCTGGATCAGCTTCGGTACCCCAAAGATGTCCAAAAGATCGAAAGAGAAGGCCCCGAAGATCGCGAAAGATCGAGAAAGCGTGACATGTGACACCACAGGATTGCAGCTGGCTTTTAGAGCACGCGGGCTCGAACAGCAGCATGCAGTGTATCTTGGGTACATCGTAACGCAGCCTCAAAGATCAAAGACCAGTCGTGTCCACTCATAACATATCCCCNCCCCCAAAAAAAAAACCCCGATGGCTCGTGATATTCACATTTCTTCTACCCATAAATGAGACTAAGAGTCACTGAGAGTGAAATTGGCTTTTTAACGCACTTTGGAAAATTTGGTCCAACGAACTTCAAGTCAGTCTTTAATCCTTATGAGTTTTACCAGTTGGGTGCCTCCAAAATTTTTCGTTCACCTTTCGTGCATTTAGGAACGAAATGACGGCTATCCGGACTAGTTTGACTACAGACCACTGCGGTGTGGCCAGAGCCTCAACGTACACGCACAGATCGCGCAGAGCCAATAAATTTACCCGTGGTGTGGCAGTGATGGGCAGATGTTTACTCTTTGTTCGGGCAGACTCATCATCACATGGTGTATAACAAGGTCGAAACACTTTGTTTACTGAACCTTAACTATACCCTAATTTTTGAGAAATGGCTACAGGACTAGGTGGAGTAAAAAATTCGGTCTATAATCATATGCAAGTGATTAACAAAATCGAACGACCGCGAAGTTAATCACGTACTCCCGGCATATAAGAAAGACGGGGGTGCTTGTCGGAAATTTTTAAAAGGGCCCCTAAGAGGTACCAAGATACTGTTTTGAGGCCTTTTTAATTGTGGGTATGGCTTGAAATTATTTTCATCCCTAAGAGGTACCAATTCTAAAACAACACATAATCTTCTGCCATATTTTTTTTTTTTTGGCTCAATACCCTAAAAGGCACCGCGAAAGCTTCCACTGTGGACCTTTGAGGATGAACACCCTCAGAGGAACCAAAACCACTTTTTTAAGCCCTAAAAGGTACGACGCGCAGTCCCCTTCCATTTCATATGGGACTGCCCTCCCCCCCCCCCCCCCCCCCCCCCCGGGGGGAAANACGCGTACTGCCGGCCCAATATCACCAACAATGACTTGTCTACTGTCCAATAACCTTAGGGACGACATTTACGACCTCAATATTGCCTGGCACCGGACACGTCAACTGTCCAATACAGAGCATATGTCACCCTAACAGTCCAATACGGAGCGTATGAGGAGTTAACTGCCCAATAAATGCTAACCACGTAGGGCCTGTATTTGTTAGTCGCTACATAGTTTTGATTAATGGATAATTTACAGAAATTTATTTGAATTGCAAGGTTTCTCAACAGACCAATTTCGATATATCAAAATTTCTAACTTGGCTTCGAAGCTTAGGGGAATAAAATATCGAAATAGACCAATTTCCATATATTGAAATTCAGCCTAAAACAACCTCAGTACGAAGCTCTGGGGAATAACTATAGAGTTTGTGGGGTTTATTCCCCGGAGCCTCGTGCTGAGGTCTATTGTGTTAAGTCTATTGGCCAATTTGTTTAGTAATAAAAATAGCCCCAGAGAACCCCAAATTTTTATTTAAACTAGATTAGATCTTACATTGTAAATTTTTTAATTCTTATTTTGTAATTATTCTTTATTGTTTATTTACACACGACTCCACAAGCTGCAAGCTTAATTACTTATCGTGTTTAAATAAAGGTTACTTACTTACTTACTTACTTGGAACAAAAGAACCTTTCTAACTCCACATGTCATAGAATCTCACTGTTACAGAGAGGGGGACATTGGGAGTTTCTAAACACCGCAACATCGCAAAAAAAAAATTAACGAACACCGCATCACCGCAAGAAAAGTCATCGAAACACCGTCACCGCAACACGTATTTTTAGCGCCATGATTTGTTCATCTACACTTAAAATAATACTTTTATACCTCAACAA